GGCTAATAAGGAGATTGGCACAGAGACGGGGAAAACCTCTCCTACATGGTCAGCGTGCAATATGATTCTGAACTTCTGAGCAGTAATTTTTTCCATTCACTTTCATTGCAGATGGGTCGATCACCACAACTACATTCATTGAAAAACGCAATAGCCGTTATCTGTTCAATCACGTAATGTTATTTGAGAGGAGGAGATTAGTCCTCGGTCCATTTTCCACCTGCCGTTTGGCCTGCCGTTTATCTTTTTTTTGGATACGCTACATAGTAACCTGAACAAATTAAATGTTATCAATTATGAAAGGTTTCTGTAGTTGGACGTATTCTTATCGTGAGGTGAAACAGAACTATGCTATAAATGCCATCATATTTCAGATGCTCCTACACCAAATAGCATCATGTAGCCGAATATCGTTACGGTTCTGTCAGACGTATGTTGGTAGAGGAAAGCCGACGCTGGGAATTCGGAGAGAGACGATTAATGCTTGGGAAAGAAGAGCTCCTCTAGCACCGACACATGTGAAAAGGCTTACTAGAGCTGGTGTGAATGTTCTCATTCAGCCGAGTAATCGAAGGGCGTACCCGATTCAGGTTGGTGGCTAGTCAAGTCGAGTTCCTACTCCCGGTCCTAGAATATATCTGCTGGTAGCTGGACCAAGCGGCTATTATCAAAGGCTGAACCTTGTCATACGGCTTGACAGACCATGACTCAGGCATCAAATTATGGTATAGGTTTTTGACGTGTAGATTAGGGAATGGTTTTGGACACTTCTCAAATTGTCTGATGACTGGGATCGCTCAATGGAAAGTGACGCCCACATCACTTGCACGGTCTGTGAGTACCACACAATCCGATTCTTTCCCCCTCCAAAAACCTAGTCGTGTTTGCATTCTGCAATCTTTAGCTGTACAAACCAGATACATTCGGGTAAGCAAAAGACCTACATCTATTCGTCAGCAGCTACCATTCAGCACACCAACGTCACCCCAAGCCTTACATCTATCGTAATCGCTGCCTTTAAAGCTGGGCTCGGAAAATTTTTAATCCGAAGAAAAAGACCTATTTACAGTTATGCTTTTTCTTGCTAAGTACGTCAAGCTTATGAGATCCCCTGATTAAGGACTACATTTCCGCCGGCGCCATCGTTCGAGAAGATTTGTCTGATGCTCAACTAATTATTTCTGTCAAACAGGTACACACACAATAAATCCTATTTTTTCAATAGTTGATTCTTTTGGCGATTCTGTGGTTTTCAGGTCCCTATTGATCAGCTGATAGCTAACAAGACGTATGCATTCTTCTCACACACTATTAAAGCTCAGCAAGACAATATGGAAATGCTTGACACTATTCTGCAAAGGGTAACTTCACTCGCGTTCATTATCACTTTCAGATGGTCGTTTCATGAAATGGGAATATTTCTAGAAAATTCGACTAATAGATTACGAGAAAATTGTGAACAAAAAGGGCAAACGGCTTGTTATGTTCGGCAAATGGGCTGGAAACGCTGGCTTCATTGACATTCTACATGGTCTGGGATTAAGGTTGGGCCAATTACGATTATTTATCGCGAAGTGGGCATTCTTTGAAGAACATTCTAACCAGATGAATACTCAGGTTACTAGCCCTCGGTCATCACACGCCATTCCTGCACGTTGGTCTTGCTCACAACTACAGTGACTCTCACTCGGCCATCAATGCCCTTCGCGATATCGGCTATGAAATTGCACTCGACAAAATGCCAAGGTGAGCGAATACTTGGAGGCTTACCAGAGTCCCGGGTTATCCGGAGCTATAGGTAAAAAGATAAACAGAAAGCATACTTCCTGTGAGGTTGTAATCAGTAATCCTTGAAAAGTGTTGAGCACTATGCTGCAATACACGACAGTTT